TATTTTTTATTTTTATTTATACTAAAAAATACATTTTTCTATGTATATTTTATTATATTAATATATTTCATAGTATATAAATAATATATTGTATTTATTTTCTTAAAGAAATTAGGGTTTCATCCCTTAACCAAATAAAATAAATTTTATTTATTTCTTCATTTTTTTACATTAAATACTTTTACATACATAGGTAAACAAAAACTTTTTTGCATAATACATATTATTTGATATTTATATATTTTGTTTATTTAAATATTGTCCATTTAAATATTTATGTATTGTGATTCAATTTGGATGTAATAGTAAACTAGGGTTTATATTTCTTGTCAAATACCCCTCATTCAAAGATTGTACCTCCATCCCCATAATCATGTTGTAATAGCTTAGAACTTTAAATTCTCGCACTTTACGCTTTCAATTATGCCATGATTAGAGAATTAGGGTTTGTATGCAAAAATCCAAATCAACAAATAGTTTGACCTAATCAAAGACAAAAATGCATGAAAATCAAACACAATGCACACTTGCACACCTAGGGTTACAATCCACTTGTTGCCTTCAAAAATGGGCCATGGTATGCATGTTGGGTACTTTGGCAAAACAAAAGCAAAACAAAAGATCATAGTCCCTCGATGACGCTATCTTGGTTGCCTAAACAAAAATGATCAAGTCCCTCAAGAAAAATTGCCAAAGATACTTGACACAATTGTTATCATAGTCTATACGATGACCCGCACCTGACCCGTTTAACATCCTAACACAAGGTTGTTCACCAAATGCAAGGGTGAAACAACACTATCAAAAGGGTTAAAAACATTAGGAAAGATCTTTGAGTAAAATAGGGTAGATAAACTCTTAGTTACTTGATCAAAAAGCTTGCAAAAACATCCTTGCTATTTTCAAACACACTTCACAACACAATTTCAAAACATTTCCCAAAACAAACTTTCAAATATTGAAATCTTTTCAAAAGACAAAACACCTTTGTATACATTCAAACAAGAATCATTACAAAGGTTGCCACAACGATGGCCTCTTTTCAAAAACATCTTTCAAAACCACACACAAGCACCATTTCAAACAATTGGAAAAACAAAGCAAGTGATCTAAACAAGTAACTAAGAGCCCATGGATAACCATGGATGAAAAGGGTGCTTGCACCTTCCCTTTTCATAATCTACTCCCCGAACCCAAGAAAACATCTCAAAGGTCTTTTCTGTGCTTTTTGACCTTTCCTTAGGATAAAATAAAAAGTCGGTGGCGACTCTTGCTAAACCGAAACATTTGCGAACACAAACGCAAAACCTCAAGTCAGTTCTCCCACCGTATAACACTATATGAGGTGGAAGATGTATGTATTATATTATGATGGATATTATGTGTTGTCTGTATTATTGATTGTATGTTGATGTACCTTGTGATTTCTATGAATGAAGTAAAGGTGTGAGGTAAAAAAGTATAATTATGCGTGTTTGAATTTCTATCTATGCATTATTATACTTCCCCTTATATTGTTATGATATCTCAACCCTTCTGTTTGAATATTACTTTTATATTGGTAACGTGCAGGTGATCTAAAGTAGCTCGAGGTTGAGGTTAGATAAGGAGTTTGCCTCATAGTGCGTAGATTGTGTCGGTGTCAACTCTGATACGTAACACTTGGGGGAAATTGTGCTTGTTTTATTTATGTTGGGAGTAAACTATTGTAGAACTCCATTGCTTGGACTTAATTGATGTTTTATGTTGAATTTTGAAAGATGATATTTATCACTCATGTTGAAGAGTTGAGAATGATTGTCATTGATATTTTTCATTGCGAATAAATGCAATAAAGTTTAAAAATTGATGAATAAGTGATTATGTATTGCGTATCTTATTATACGAGTATGTGTGATGTATGAAGGTGACATCCTAATTGATAAAAATTGTTTTAATTTCTCTGATTTATTTAATTAGCGCCTTGGGGAAATTAGGGTGTTATAGATTCTCACATCATCCGACACTCCTCTGGCACCATATGATTCTCCCAATCTTAGAAGATGCCATCGAGCTCCCAGCGGACAATGGTGTCGAGAGCAGCCTGAAAGGGAGATATGGGTATGGTCTGCACATAGCTAAATTGTCAGATGCATCACTCTGGAAGATACATGACCATATTATTAGTCCCATATGCCAGCCACCCTGAGTCTAATGAGATGGGGCCGAAGGGGACAATCTCCCTATGATCCCCAAACAACGTCCAAAGAATGTCATCATGAATAATCCGATCAAGATACACTCGAAACAATGACACAACATGATTCCCTCTATGGAGGATATACATGAAATCCCTCGACATCTCTTCATCATATTGCAGATCAAAATTGAAACCATAAATGCGGTGAAAGTGAGAAATGATCTATCCAGGAAAAATGAATAAGAGATATGTAAGAATAAATTGTTAATAGAAAATTAAATGTAATAGTTGAATGAAAGGTAGCGTGAGCAATGTGCAAGATCCTGTCAGTTACCTCTTCCTCCATTTATAAGCTTCATTCAACTTTTGGTATATGTATACCAAACAATCAACCCCCACTTCCACTCCCTAACTGTATCCAAATCCATGAAGTACTACAAATACGCCACATCCATGTAGGTTGTACTTTTGTCCACAAATATGGACGTGCCAACCAAGAACAGAACTAACATCGCAAAGCACACTCACGGTGGTACTGAACAAAGAAATCATTGCCTCGCTCTCGGAAGATGCTTCCGTAACCAGGTACCCTGCATATAGGTCGCCCAAGAATGAGAACTTGGCATGATCCCCATTAGTTGAGGAATATTGTTCATCTGCCTTTTCTGACTGAGCTCTTAGATACTCGACCATTCATTCAATCGCTTCACCACGAGTAATCCAGAGTAGTTAAGTAACCTCCCTCTGCTGGAAAGGTGTAGTAGGCATGCGACATCATTAAGTGTAACTGTCATCTCCCCAACGGGAAAATGGAAAGATGAGGTTTCCTTATGCCATCTCTCGACAAATGCTCCTTGCATGTCATGGCTAATAGTAACGTAACCGGAACAACAAAGTCTGGCAAGTCCGGAGCCAAGAATGGTCTCCTTGAACCAATCCTCATTAGGATGATATAGATAAAAAAAAATCGCGTGTGGTTCACAGAATTTATGGGCAGTCGTTCCTGTAAAAATAAATATTATTCTCAATGTTAGTCGTTAACACATTTATGCGTAAATTATTTAAATGAAAAGTGTAATAAAAATATACCTCTACATCCCAAACATGCCGAGTGGCATGATCATTGTGATATATCAAAAGGGAGGTGTCAGAGAGCCCTTCTGGATGTTCCTGGTTTTTCTGCCCCATTACTACACATAAAAGTGCAACCAGTGTATCATAGGAAGCCTCCTCGGGTTCTTGTGCCAGAACATCAACCTCCTCGGGTTCCTGCTCATTATCTCGAGACGAGGATGCATGAGACATGCGACTCCTCAAAGTAGAAGTCGATGCTCCCACCACTTTATCCCGTCTTCGACCCCTAGTAGCATGCTTAACTCTCTCATGCCGAGCGGAGGCAGTATGACTTGACTTACTAAGTCTCAATATGTAGTTTGGGTTTTCAGCCATTTTCCTGAAGAAAAAAACATTACTCAAAGGGAAGGAACAAGTGTGAAAAAATTTTAAAAAAAAACTCATACTTAATTTCGGATGTGCATATCTGAAAATACTCAGAGGGGTTTTCAGATATGCACATCTGAAATAACATGCGACTGCTATTTTCGAACAATTGGGGTTTCTTGCCCTGAATCACTTAAAAACTTCCCTTTCACACCCAAACAATCACATTTCCCAAGTTATACTTCAACACACTCAATTTACATGATTCTAAAGAACATATTTTACATTTACAAAGTAGAATAATATATTCGAAGAAACTTACTCAAATTCGGAGCTTTGAAGTATTGTTGAAATATGTTGAAAATGTGCTTTGCTTCTTCAAAATGTACTTTGGTATTGAATTTAGTTGAAAGTGTTGCTCAAAGATTGCAAAAGAGAGAGTTGAAATAGAGAGTGTTAGAATATATAAAGATTGCAAAGTGTGCTTTTCTGTTTCAAAATTTAGTATATATTTATTACGATTCAGATATGCATATCCGAACACTCTATGTACTTAAATTGTGGGGTCGATTCGAATATGCATATGCGAAAATCCCCTGATTTTGACTAAAAAGTTGTTTCAGCCATACATATTCGAATAAATCCCTCTAAATATGTAACGTAGTAAATTTAGATATGCATATCTAAATTATAGGATATTATAAAAAATTTGTCAAAAACCTTTTAAAAAAATACAAGAATTTACTAAGAAATTTCATAAATAAAATAAACAGTACAAAAGTACAACTATGGTCTTATTCATTCAAAAAAATAAATAAAAAAGCCTTAATTTATTAAAAAATAGTTTAAAGATAGTGTCATGCTAGAATAAAATAATTTTATACATATAATCAATCAAAAAATTTATGTTTATTATGTCATTTCAATTTTTTAAAATAAAAATATGATTTAATATAATACATATCTCTCATCATTCATTAACCGTGTAAAAATATTTTATGGTAGTAATTTATTTATTTATTTTCTTTTAAAAAAAAACCGTGTCGAGTACTAATTAAATTCTAATAAATAGATAAACCTGTAAATAATGTTTTGTACGAAATAATAAACATTTAACCACCGACAGATTCACAATTCAACCCAACCCCAACGTGTAAGAGGAGAAAAAAAATTGGTAAAGGGTGATCAAAATTGAATACCAAAAAAAAAAACCCAAATCTCAGAAAAACATTTGCCCTAACCCAGATTACAATAACCGGGTCATGATTCAACCGCCGGTTCCCGGATCCTCCGTTCTCCGCCGTTGGCTGACCTGAGCCAAAACCACCCTCCGTCAACCCTCATCCTTCTCGTTCCTGAAAAGAGAGGGTAAAACCGGATAATGAACTGCAGCGTGGGATCCATCGTATGGGTTCGCCGGAGAAACGGGTCGTGGTGGCCGGGTCAAATACTCGGCACCGATGATCTGTCCACTTCTCATCTCACTTCTCCTCGTTCAGGAACTCCGGTTAAGCTCCTCGGAAGGGAAGACGCTAGCGTGTAACTCTCAATCTCTCTTATCCTTTCAGTTGTTAACTTAACTACTCCCACTTTTCATGTTTTTCTTACATTATACTCGTTAATTAATTGCGTCTTTGCAACTATATTAGTCACCATAATCCGTGTAGAATTCTATAATCTGAGGTTAGGATCATTATTAGTTTCACTGTGATGTACAAATCACTTATCTGTGTGTTTTATTGGCATTCTTAATCAACACTTTGTATTTTATTAAATTGTTAATTTATCTGTTATTTGGTGGGTTATTGTTCTTTGCAGAGATTGGTACAATTTGGAGAAATCCAAACGTGTCAAGGCATTTCGATGCGGTGAGTTTGATGATTGTATTGAAAAAGTTGAATCCTCCCATGAGATGCCTTTGAAGAAAAGAGAAAAATACGCCCGCCGTGAAGATGCCATTCTTCATGCTCTTGAACTCGAGAGGCAGTTGGTGAAAAAGCAGGCAAAAGTGGCCATTGCTTCTGATCGAACCAATTGTAGATCGTCTGGTTCTGTTAAAAGGGGTACGGGAGTGTTGCCCGGGGAAACCAATGATACTGAAAAACATTTAAATTTGAAATCATATGTGTCTTGTGAAAATGAAGTTGCTGGAGATTGTTTTCCTTTGGAGGTAGCTGGGGATACCAAAGTAGATCTCTGCGATGTTACTCCTCGTACGAGAGGCTTGAAGGGTTATGGAACCAAAATTCCCCCCTTGAAAGAGAATCTCCCATCTCCCATGTATCCACATGTTTCTCAGGATCTTTCAGTAGATGATGGTGCTCAGGCTCTTGTAAGTGATAGTATTTGCACGCGGAGTGCACTCCAGACAAATGGTAAAACTCTTTAACCCTATTTCTTTGGTGAAAATCAGTAATATATTTTAGGGTATAATCGGAACATGGTTCTGTTTCTAGGAGCTAGGCAAATATCAACCCGAGAAAAGAGGAGCAGGTATTTTTATTTTCCAGCCGAGTCTAGTGATTCTCTTGAATACAAAGAGAGACTAGACCTTGCTGAGATGTCATCTCCAAAACATGCAGGGAAGTTTCCTTATCGCGGTTCTTTGGTTGGAGAGACTGAGTCAACTTTTATGGATGTTGAATCTGGCTCTTCAGAAACAGACTCTACTGTTTCTGATTCAGATTCTTCTGAGACAGAACCAGACACGGAAGCAAAGATGATACTCACAGGTTAGGTTTCTGTCATACATTTGCTATCCTTGTCTCAACAGTGTGCACTATAAATTTGCTATGACATAACGGGATTAAGGAAAAAATAACACACCACTCGTAGGTTCCAGTACTTCATTCTGTCAGTCTCTTTCATTTTGTGAATCTACTTCTCTTAAAATTATTTTTTATGTATCTTGGCTTGTTCTAAGAGAAATCATTAAGAAAAATCTTGAGATTAACGAGTTGGATAAAAATATGATATATGATAGAATTATACGGCATCATTTGATCCATGTAAGCATATAACACCTTTGAAAAAGATCATGAAGTTGAAATTTTATTTTATGAGCAATCTGGTTTGTGAAGGCCCAGGGTGTTAGATTCAAGAGAAGGGAAACAGAACTAATTGTTGTTATCATGCATGTTTCAGTTACGACCAGCTTTCATGAATTATAATTGGGTGTAACTTTTAATTTTTCTGTGGGCATCTAAGGGGTTCATGTTCTCAAGTCATGACTTCATTCTTGATATAGGGTTAAGTTTTTTTGTTGGACTATATGTTTTATCTTTCTTTTGCGTCATCCTTTATGGTTCTTTGGGTGTTACTGTAACTGCAGAGACTGGCCGTGATTTTGAAGAACATGAAAGCACCAGCATTGAGGAGCTTGATGAATTAGCAGTCACCAGCGACATGCCTCACCTCTATCCTCGTGAACTGACATCTTGCCATGAAGCCATGTCTAAATGGCAACTAAAAGGGAAAAGGAATAATCGGACTCTTGTAAAGAGGTCTAATGGTCCCCCTGACGGAAAAAGTATTATATGTGAAGCGGAAGTGGATTTTGAAGATGGAAGACCTAATTTAAGTCACAAGAGAATGGGTTCAAGTTTGCATTGTTACAGAAATGATTTTAGTGATGCACTTTATGACGATGATCAAGAGTTTGGATCGGAAGAGGAATACTCTCCCACTCCGAGAGCTGTATCAAAAGTTCAAAATAGAACTCATCGAGGTGCTAATTGGAATGACTTGGCCTGGGATGAACATCTTGCTTCCAAAGAAATGCATAGTGATGGTTATCATATCGGTGGGAGGACGAGGTCGGTGCTGATTAACGTAGATGTGAAGGTTCAAGCAGGATATCGGAAGGAGCCTGTGCCCATTATTTGTCTCATGAGTAAATTAGATGGGAAGGCAATAATAGGGCACCCAATCCAGGTTGAGGTCCTCGAGGATGGTTCTTCTGATACCCTTTTTTCTGCAATTGACGACTTCAATTATGACGGGATTGGTCATGAGGAAAGCCGTGTGCTTCGACAAGGATGGAGCACTGCTAGGAGAACAGCAAATTTTCGTGTTCCTCGCTCAAACGTTTTGTCATCAAATGGTGCTGAAGTTCCCGTTGAGTTTCCCTCCTTAGATCAAGAACAAAGCTTTGATTATAAAAAACTAAACCCCGGAAGTTCCAGTCATAAGGCAAACCTCCAAAAGAAGAGTGGCAACAAAAAGTTCTATAAAAAGGCGCCAAAGAAATCGAGCTTGTCATCTAACCAGAAAATTAGAACTCTGTCCTCATTATCTATTGAGCATAGACTTAGGAATCCATTTCATGATATAAGTAGTTATCAAACTGATAGATTAATTAAACCAGAAATCTCTGGGCCCACCACAGTCGCTTGCATACCAGTCCAGTTAGTATTTAGTAGATTACTTGAGAAGATTAATAGGCCACCATTGAAAGCACCTTTGCTGAATACTGGTGTGGAGAGAAATTCATAGGTTACATGTACATTTTTATATGGAAAAAAATAATCTTAGAGTGATAGCACAATTTATTGAGGATGTCTTATTTCCAGTATATGGATATCCTATTCAATTTATTGTCTGCATTTTAAGGATTGATATGCTGTATAGTTCTCTATTCATCATGTATCTATTGAAGATAAATAAAAAGATAACATGCAATTGTTTTGCTGTCATGGGTATAATATGACTGCCTAGTTATTGATTAAGTTATAAGTGGTTAAATACAATTATAGTATCACTATGTGTTCTTTGTTCTATGTTCAATACTCAGCAGAAATATCGGCGAAGGTTCCAGGTTCTTTGGGAACTAGTAACCGCAGTTTTGTTTAAACAAATGTGGTATATGCTTTCTATCCGGGGCGGAGCCATCTATTCAACTCCAGGGTGGCCATGTTAAAAGTCCCAGCTTTTACTTGAAAATGTAAAAATTAATTCAATAAATTTTCTTACAGAGTGATAACTATTAGAAGACGCATGTAGGTAAGTGAGTTATCTTAGATAATTTGATAGAAATGTCACAAATATATATATATATATATATATATATATATATATATATATATATATATATATATATATATATATATATATATATATATATATATATATATATATATATATATATATATATATATATATATATATATATATATATATATATATATATATATATATATATATATATATATATATATATATATATATATATATATATATATATATATATATATATATATATATATATATAGTGTTAAATATTAAATATAGTGTAAGAAGTGAATACGTTTTTAAATGAAACATAACAAAATATAAAAGTTTAATTTGTTTGGATATGTTGCACACATGTGATAACCTATAAAAAATGATATCTTTGATTGGGGGACAATTTTTGATAATGTTGTAAGAAATATCTGACTTTGAGAATTGCGATTTTTTTTTTAAATAATTACTTTTTTTTAAAAAAAAAATCTCAAATAATCACATTTTTAAATTTTTATCAAACTAATTACTTTTCAACAAAAAAAATTGCCACATAGATGAGTAACCACTCTTTGTGGCGTATGCATGCTATTTAGAGAGGAAGCGTCACACAACATAGTTTGTCCTCCTCTATAAAATCATACAGTGTGGCGCATGCATGTAATGACAAAGAGGAGGCGCCATCTGCTGTGGCTTGAAAATATTGCATGCATGCCATTTCATAACAGGTTTTTCAGTACAGGTTTCTCATCTTTTCGCTGTTTATTTCAGCAAAAGAAATGACCATTGAAAAAACAGTAAAAGATCTTCAAGCTCAAAACGCTCAGTTCCAACAAATGTTCATGGCTTTGGTCCAGAGGCAGGAAGAACTGAAAGCTCTCGTCATCAAAGAGAAGAAGAAGAAGGCAAAGAAACTGGCTGGCATCTTGAATATGGGAAGAAGACTCAGAGGACCAGTTAAATGATTTTTAGATCTCACAACCCCATCAAACTAAGAGGATAATCATGAAGAAGTCAACAACCCTGAAGTTGATTATTCTGAGGAACAATATCCTCCTGTTGACGATAAATACAAACAGTTGGAGGATCGTCTCAATGCTATGGAGATTCAGCAGGTACCTGACTTGGACTTTAAAGAGTTAGGGCTGGTTCCTGGAGTGGTCATTCCACCAAAGTTCAAGGTTCCCACATTTGCTAAGTATGACAGTGTCTCCTGCCTTAAGTTTCACTTTAGGTCCTATGTTAAGAAGATCCAACCTCACACTGCTGACCAGAAGTTATGGGTCCATTTCTTCCAAGAAACTTTAGCTGACATGCAACTGGAGTGGTTCTATCAGCTAGAAAGAACAGACATTCATACATGGGAAGACTTGGATGTTGCTTTCTACAAGAAGTACCAATACAATACTGACCTCGCTCCAACTCGTACACAACTTCAAAGCATGTCTATGGGTTCTAGCGAAGGCTTCAAGGAATATGCCCAGAAATGGAGGGATCTAGCTGGCAAGGTACAACCTCCTCTGAATGATCGGGAAATGGTAGACATGTTCATGGGCACTCTGATAGGCCCGTTCTTTAATCTTCTGATTGGGAGTTCCTCATCCGGGTTCACAGAGATGGTTCTGACTGGAGAAAGGATCGAAAATTGTATCAAGAGTGGGAAGATCTTGATGGTTGCATCTTCTAATGCTGAGAAAAAGCCATTTGCTGGTAAGAGGGAAGCCAATGTTGTGTATGACCAGAAGGGTCGTAATAAGGCAGATTACCACCAATCTGTAGGGACAATACTGATCTCTAATTTGGCACGCGTGCAACAACCACAACAACAGGGTAATCAGCGAAGGCAAGGCGAGCCTAAGAGACAGTTTACCAAGATCAACATGCCGCTGTCTCAAGCCTTACAACATATGTTAACGATGAATTTGATTAAGTTGATAGGACCTCATCCAAATCCTAAGACTTCTTCTCCTAACTACAATCCTGATGCAAGGTGTGCCTATTATTCTGGCAGTCCTGGGCACAATACTAATGATTGTTGGGCACTAAAATACAAGATTCAAAATATGATTGACGTCAAGGAGATTGAGTTCGACCCTCCTAAGACTCTCAACGTGATCACCGCTTCCATGCCAAATCATGGCCAGGATTGAGAGCATTTTTATTCATTTGAATTCTCAAGTTGTATTTTTTTTGTTTGTTCAAACAATTATTGTCATTTCAAACTTTGTTATTTAATTAATCTATTGCACATGTTTGTCTTGAATTAATTTGTTTTCATTATGCTTAAATTGCTTTCTTACTTCCTTTTTATGATATTCAACTCTTGATTAAAAGCTCTAAGCCTTTAGAGGGAGGATGACGAGAACGATACCACAATCTCTATAATATGCTTTTGAACAGACCCCGCTGATGATGTACATGCGTTGTTTCAAATCCTAAACAGTGGAGTTATAAGGAAGATAATCCCTAGTCAACCCCTTTGAGCCTAAGAAGTAGGAGTTTTCTTTTCACACAAATTAAAACCCTTAATCATAACCCGAGGAAGGGTAGTTTTCTCAGTTGATTCAGATGTGCATTTAGTCGCAAGCTTTCCCTTCATACACAACAAATAATGCAGAAGATGCTCTCCAAAAGATGGTGATGGTTCCACATAATCATTAAGAACAAGCAATCATTATCTCTCAAAATAAAAGCCCATTAAGTCAAAACCTATGAAGGAGACTTAAGGAAAAAAATGGGGTATCCCGCTGGCTGTAATCACAAAAGAAACAGTTCAGGAAAAAGACAGGGATAGAAAAATCAAAAAAGAAAGAGGTCATACAAATCCTCAACAAAAAGAAAATGTCACAAAAATGACTTCCTTCTCAAACAAACGTTCAATTTCTGAACCATCACCGGAATATCGGGGCCAACATTCCAGAACTCAACTGGGATTCGAAATGCACAATTAACTGAGTATAGGACTGAATAACATCACGAAGAACGAGTGGGTACAAATAAATTTTGAGCCTTTATCCTTTGTTTCTTAAACTGTGAACCAGGCCACGTTACAACCCTTAAAAGTCCTAGCTGAAACATGGATTAGTTCGAGAGCATACTGTTACAAAGGTATCCTGACTCCTGTAAGGTTTGCTATAAATCATGAGTTGATATCACATTCTTGCAAATTTTGTTTTACTACAAAAAATGCATTTTCAAAAAATTTCAAGACAGACATAAGCTTTGCATTCTTTAAATGACATTGTTTTCATATGATTAATTGTTCAAATGGCAGAGAAATTTACAAAACGAATATTCAGTGAACGAAGACCCCCTCAATGGACATAATCACCTCAGACGGAAAAAACATTCCCAATAACAAGTCTTTCATAATCAAGGGGCATGACATGGTGTCTAATTAATATGGGGAAGTCAAGCCAATATGCAAAGAATCTCTCCAAAAATGATGAATAGCCAGGGAAGATCTCCATCTGAATCACTCGGGGGTTGTTACATTGATCAGGGATTCCAGCAGAAAATCACTGTGAAATTTGAATCTTTGGTACAACCAAATTATTTGTCTGTGCCATTAGTATCAGATGGTGTCAGTATCATGTCTTTGAATCCTTCCATGACAGTTCTTAGAAAAGATACCTAGGAAATTCAAGACTATCAGAAACTTGATCAAACATCAGGTGCACCAGATTTATCTTGAAGCAGCCACACACAAGCTCCCACGTATGAAAGGGCACATGCGATCACACAAACATTTTCTGGAATTTCTATAACACTTGTTATCAAAGACGGTGACAACTCTCCACATCCTATGAGCGTGGACATAGTCAGAAAATACTACGCATGAAAAAGACTCGCTAGGTTGACAGGCCTATGCAAAATTAAGGGCATCCCGGCGAACCAAAACAGTTCGGGCAAGAATTAAGGATATATACAAAAACAAATGTACACCTGGTAAGTCAAAAACCTGAAAAGGCGGCTTGAGCAAAAAAGGGTATCCCAGTGGACTGAAAACCCGAAAGGGCGGTCCATGAAAAAGTTAGGGATTAAAAACATACGACTATGTCCCGTCATCTTGTCATTTTTTTATCAGTATAATACTTATCATCCTGATCAGCATTTACCAAGCACCCTGGGAGTTGGGATGACACTCAAACCATCCACAAAGTCTACACATGTACTTTCTCCAGTAGGTACATAGGCAGAGGCATCTTACTAAAAAGTCTCCGCCATATCCTCAGCTTATAACCTAGTGATGTCAAGTGTTCTTCTATCCCCGATAGAACAGGAATTTCCAACTACTGCTCCGACATCAGGTTTTCCCTAGTAAAGTCTTCAAACTTCTCAGGATTCCCCAATAGGATTTCACAAAATCCTTAGGCAGTATTGTTGTACCCAAAAATTTTCCCTCTCAATTCTCAAGGCATCTCTCACAATGATTCTCAAAATTCAAGATTGCACAAGTACATTGGGATTTTGCAACACCAGAATTAAAAGGA